TTATACATAAAAAAAGTTCTTGATTTCGTCAAAGAAATGATGGTATGAATTGCGAAAGAAAGATAAATAGATAATAGATAGATATAGATAGAGAGAAAGAGAAGGAAGACGAAGTGCGAGAGTTCGTAGGGCGAGAGTTGGTTTTCGTAAGGTTGAGCACAGTTTTGGCGATAACGAGCGGATTTGCAATCACGACTATATTGTGCAGGATCCTGCTGTTAGCTAACTTCAAGAGGGATGAAACACAGGCGCCCTGAGATCACAGAGCAAGAGGCTGAATGTAGGATGCGGACGAAGAGGATGAGAGAGCGTCGCGTCGACTCTCCGTTACCGTTGCAATCGCTCGCGTCTGCTGCGTGGAAGGCACCGACTGAGAATGTCAAATTTGCAGAATATTATCGCAGAATTATTTCCCCCATATTCGTACTTCTGAAATTGAATTCGTATTAGAACACGCGACTTCGCTCGCAACTCCGAGACTGTCCACAGCCTTTTTAAAAAGTCAACGAATCCAAAGATTTGTAGATAAAAAAGCACAATAAAACAAGCAATTTTATTTTCGGAGACATCGCGAGGCTTTTTTTGTATAAACATTGAGAGAAAAATATTTGTGACTATAATTGCATAGTAAAATAATTATAGTTAGAAGTTTCATAATATAATAAATTTACAGTTCTACAAAAAAAAATATATATTGGCACCTAAAATGATAGAATAAATTAAAGTAATTATAATCATTTTATTTCTTAATAACGAGATTCATCGCTCGACAATAAAATATTCAGAGTTAATCGAGATCGAAGCATATTGTGACGTTTCACAGTGCCAAGATTTATTAGGCCAAGAACTCTATTACAGTTTGTTCTTCTGTCATAATTTATTTGTCCTTATCGCTTATGTAACTGTTTCATGTGGTCCACGTAAAAGCGGAGGCGAGGCAGATAGTACGTTGTTAAACACTCGCGTTTTCGTTTGAGAGGCAGCGAACTGGATTTTTATAACGTTCCTGTTGTTTGCACAGCAGGTGGTTAGTGGTGCGAGTTCGACTCGCTATCCCGCTTTCTCGAATTTGTATTCTTTTACGAGAACTCCGGGGATCTAGGTGACAATAGACACAGGTTCCGTGACTCGAAGTCTCGTGGCACATTTCGACCCGACGTTCGAACTTCGAACGCGAACAGGTCCGATGGCGATCATTTTAATGATAATAATAAAGTATTCCTATACCCAGCATCGTGACCGAAGACTCCTCTCTAGACATTTTAGAAAACACCACGAGGGCGGACTCTTCTAACTCAGCATGTGAAAAACGACATGTGAAGAACGAGGGATAATCGACAGAGATAAAAAATGCGAGGGTGCAACTGTTGCGCAGACTCAAAATACTGTGCGACATCGCAAATAATAATTACGCTATTTAATATTACAATCCATTGGGTACTATTTATTTGAGTATCGTAAAATAGGATAATTTTGGCCCAGTCGGGATAATTTTGATCCAAATTAAAAAAAAAGTTTAGATAGCACGCATCCTCAAAATGAGGACATAAGAAATAAGACATAAGAAATGAAGAAATTGTCATAAAACTTTAAAGTCTTTTCATATGCGTATTGTTTACACTGAGGAAAAACTATATATATCAATTTTAATAAATATTTAGTTCAATACTGCCAACTAAACGTTTACTTACGTTTAGTAAATAAATATTTGTTCAATAAAAAAATGTTAAATTAAATTAATAGTTCTTGTATAAATATATCTTTATATTTAATAAATATTTAGTTGACAGTGTTCAAATAAATATTTATTAAAATTGACTATATTTTTGTCAGTGTAAGCATTGTCAAAATTTGGGTGAAGGTATAACACCCGATTTTACGGCAATATTTGTGCATTAATGTAAAACTTATTATTACGGATTACTGTATAAAAATAATAGCGACGGTGCTCTCAGATACTCGCGACTGGATATGTTATTAATTATCCAATTTTTTCCTCGTGGATGCACGTGACTGCCATACCGCTCCGGTACGTTCCTTGGTGACCGTCGACGGGCCCGACTCTCGATCGCGTCGATTAATGGGCTCATACGAACGGCTCGTGGATGCGGGACCGTCGCGTTGTCGCCTTCGATTTGTTCGGCACCGACGGGACGGGGTGGAACCCCGCAGGTTTGCGTCACGAGAGAGAGGATCTTCCAAGCACCTCGCGAAGAAGGACCTTTGTTCACAGTTGGCTTCGCCACCGGAATAATTCGACTGCCATTTTTCTCGCTTTATGCCGGGTAAGCGTTACTAATGGCTCGTTCTCGAAGCGGCGCGAGGCGACACGAGAGAACTTGGCGCACATAGGTAAATTTACACGGTTTTACGCGCTTGCCTCGAAGTTAATAAATAAAGGCGCGGACTCTCGGAAATGCACGCTCGTTCGTCTTCGCCTCGAGCATGCAGATGTTTGCGAATAATGTTGCGAATGGCTGCGATCAGCAGAAGAAGCAGCTTTGCAGGAAAAGTAGCTTTGCAACTATTGTAACATTCTTTAATATGATTGGTTTATATATTTAAATCCAATGAGAAATTGAGGGCAAGACCAATCAATTAAAGAATTTCATAATTGCATTTTATAATTGCTTCGCAGTTTTTTTTCTGCCAAACGCAGCTATTAGTTTATAATTATACGCTAAAAATTTCTGAGTGACGAATTAAGGCCAAGAACCAATTATATTAAAGGATTTTGCACAGCTGCTTCTTCTATGACTTAATGTTTTGGAACGCTGTAAAAACGGTCGCAATTCTTAATACTTTATGACGACGTCTTGATAAAATTATGTAATTAATTGCCCCGATGGAACACGATTTATTCGACAGCACAACGATCATCTATCTTCTCCAAAGAAATCGAGTGTTTAATAGGCGAGACATTTCACGGATCACCGATCGGCCAGCAATAAAACACACGGGCGACAGAAAACCCGTTTGACAGTTTTCCACAACGCGAGAAATTCATATTCATTTTGGGCGTGGACGTGAATACGCGCGCCCGCAGCCAAACCAAACGGGATCGTAAGTGTATAATGTACTGCGTTGCGTCTGTGTGCATGGTGACGCTAAACGCATGTAGAGAGATAGAAATGACCGTGAGTGAGGGGGATAATGGTGATAAAAGCCGCCAGTCTATTCGGGGATGATTTACGATTCGGGCTGCGGCGAGATGAAAATACAAACAGGTGCTCGAACTTCCTCGAAAACTCATATTTATTTGAATGAAAGAAGAGGATCCATTTCATATCCTTGATTAACATAAAATTATATTAAACGTTCTTCTATTCTGTCTCGTTCGATATGAGTGAGGATGAAAAGTTAATGAAAATATTTAATTTTGCACTGACAATGAGAAAAAAAATGTTTGATATTTGTGATTATATAACTGCATAGTAAAATAATTAGGATAATAAGAGCTAGGTCGATAATTCATATTTCAATACCAACTGTCCTATATTTTATTTGATATATAGAATTATAAATTATTATTATTATTACTAAATTATAGAAATAATAATTATAAAAATGGAGATCCTAATAATTATTTTACTATACAATTTAGTCATAAATATTTCTTTCTTAATGAGATTTTAGAGTACTTAAAGAAAGAACAGTTTCCGAAGTATTAAAAAATTTAGCTAGATAAGATTTAAAAATAATTTTGGTCTATTAAAATGCCTAATTAGATTATGTTTCAATATACATTGCCAGTATTGAAAATGTATAATATACGCAACGTGAACTGCACATTTTCGGTACTGACAAATAAACTTAAGCTGCCAAAATATATTGCAGTATTGTTTATCATACTTGAATTTTCTACATAATTATTTTGATGGTTGATGGATTCTAACAAAATTATTTTTAAATCTGCCTAAATTTACAAGTATTTCAGCAAAATCGTTCCTTTCTTTTGTATAACGCAGCATCGTATATGTGAAGAATATTTCGCGATTGTCTTTCAGCAAACGCAAGAGCACAGGAACGCACGCATACTTCTATTATACGTCGGAGTTCGGAGTGCAGTGCTATATCGGATGTGCCCCTGTGACTCGTAAACGAAGTTTGCGCCAAGACTCGGGTTGGAGTTTGCGAATCACCGCTGAAATTCCATTCGGCAGTTTGGCTGCCGACAATAAGGTACCCCAGCTCGCGCGAAGCGACCCACCGTCTACCACCGCACCGTTGAGTGGTGCGAGCGTGCCCGTACACTCAGTCTACCTACACCCGCGTCCCCACCGTTGCGTAGTTTCGTGAACGTGAACGTGTACCCCGCTCTACGCCGAGAGAACCATGGGCGGGTACCGTAGGCGGAGCTTATCCAACAGCGTTCACTCTAACGTCCTAGCTGGAGTTCCTGATCCTCTCCGTGCTCTGCCACCTATTATCGCCACCTATCTGTCTCGCAAGCTCGCAACCCCCCTCGTGCCTGATACGTACGTAATGCGAGTTGCGTGTGTTGCACTGGTATACGATAGTTCCGATAATCTCTCTCTCTCTTTCTCTATGTACATATATATATATATATTCATGCAACATTTATATTTGCTTCCAACTTTATTTTAGATTTTACATGAAAATAAGCTTTACTTACGCATATATTTTTTTATCTAGTGCTTAAGGAGACTTGTCCCTTAATAAATGACGCATTCTCTCTTTCTCTCTCGCATCTTGACGCCGTTTTTTTTTGTATCTTTCATGCTAGGTGTCACTCGTCGCAATTACGTCGATCTGGAATTCCGATTACAGCTCGTAATGGATCCCAGCAATATTTCTCATCTGAAACGCATTCTTATGATAGACAGCTCGGTTGTCAAGACACGCGAGTGTTGGGCATACGTATGAGTGTGCGAGTGTTGGACCATCCCCACTGCACTTCCATCGCCCATCCCTACGGCCCATCGAACGGCATAGTAGGGACAGAACCGAGTATGTCAGTCTTCTCTTAGCACCGATCGGAGTAGGGTGTCGTTTGATTCTTTTGCCAAAGCTCGCGATTTCTCGCATCTGCGTAAACGAATGACGGATGATCGGGCCGAGCGAGCCGAGTTGCGGGCCAAATCTATGGGATAAATTGGTGGAGAACTTGGTTTGCAGACTTTATAGTATATGCGAAAGAAGGGGTGAGAAGAGACGCGATAGTAATACGTGAGTAGGTATTACACTCCGACAGTCGAAATGAAGAAAAGAAGAAGCGCGTAATCGCGTTTGGATTAATCGCGGCGGCGCAATTATGAAGGTAGGTTCTTTCACTTTTGAACAGATTGATGTTGAGTGGCGGGTCTATACATGTGTGGAATAAATGCGTCGGATTTCTTATCACTTTTCTGAGATTTTCAAGATTTTTGAAAAATGATTTGTAAAAAAAACATTAGCTGTGTTCAATAGAAAAATTAACAGTTTTAATAAGTGCTTTGCGCTGATTGGGTAATATCTTTAAATCTAAATTGAAATAGAATTATTTTGTAGTTTAAAAGTATAGTCCACACAATTAAGAATGTTTAAAGCCGCTTTTTCTGCTAAACATAGCTATTACATGAAAACAACATTAATTTGAATCTAAAAGAAATTTGTTTTATTCGTTCACGGAAAGTATGATTTCACTGAAGTATTTGAAAATTTAGCTAGAAATTTGAAAATAATTTAATTGGACTGTCAAAATAATTATGTAGAACGCTTGAATATGTGCAATGCTGTTTTGGTTGTAATCGGCAATATAATGTATAATATTACAATAAAGTTGAGCCAAATACTTATGAATATTTAATCGTATCCTTTAAATTATAATTATTATAGTTTTTAGGTCTGTTTTTTATTGCTGCGCTTTCTGAACTGGTGCACACCGTACAATAAGTTGAAACGAAACAAATATACGTTTGTTTTACTTCAATTTATTGTAACTTGTGCATCAGTTCAGAGAGTCCAACAATAAAAATCAGACCTTTCGTGTTCAATTCGCATTTGTTCGAGTGACAACATATCGTATTCCCCTATAGATATCTTTCCAGGTCTTTTCTCTCTTGACTCTAAATATTTTCTATAAATCAATCGTCTGTATTCATATTAGTTGATCTTACCATTATGTATACTATACTATTTGTATTGTTTTGTGCTGAATATGTATTTGCGAGTGTATATGTTAATAATTTCAATATTTCGAGAAACATATATGTTTGATACAAATGTTGTTATGATGACCGCAGTATAGAAAGTTTTGACATTTTAGTAATCAATTCGAGCGTTCTAATATATAATTATTTTGTTAGTTTAACAAAATTACTTTTAGACCCGTGCCTAGCTAAGTTTCTAGACTTGAATGCATAATGTCAAAATTGTAAAACTATAGGAAGAAGGTCCGGTAGCTCACTGACATATCCGGTAGTCCGACAGTCTCGAAGTCCGCGAGTCTGGGCCCAACTTCGCCTTCTCCACATTTCTCATTTTGTCAGTTCATCCGGCAACCACCGCCCAGGCTTGTTGACGAATAAAAAATGAGGCTATTATTCTTTCTCGCCCGTTCGCTGATTGCAAAAAACGTTCCAAAACGAGCAACGGATACGAAAAGAGAAACTCGTCAAGTTAGATTTGCGTGAGAGAATATTTGACAGCTATTTTAATCTTTTCTTTAACGGACGGAAAGAAAGGAAAAATTCAAATATATGTGACGTGAATTACGTATTTGCATTCGTGGACATTGATAATTTATGAAGACCAATTCGGAATCGATTCATCAAATTTGATTGCGTGTATATATTTTATTTTAACTTTAGTACATTGAAAAAAATAATTCTTACTGCTTTAAAAGGAAACGAATATTTTATTTGCGAATCGCAATAGCCAAACAAATGACTTTTAAGAAACAGCATGGAAAGAACGATAAAGTTATGCTAAAGTATCCAAAAATTTATACAGGATATCTCGTACAGATCGTAATGACGCTTAAAGGTAAATTTCTGAGATTATTTTTGAGTCAAAAATTCTAATACCAAAATGTCGAAGCTATAACAGTTTTCAAATTATAAGCATTTAATGTTAACGAATCATATCGCCTAAAGTTTGCGCGTCCGGGTGTGACTGGCATTTTGTATCACGTTAATTACAGTGATTACACATCTGAACGCATGAACTTTAGGCAATATGATTCTAATTGGATAAATATGATTAGGATTTTCGTCTCAAAATGATCTCAGAAATCTATCCTCAAGTATTACGGCTTTAAGGGACACACTTGTATATTGAACTAGTTTGAAATTAATTTCGAGAGACATACACACTTACATGTACGCACTCTCACAAATGATATTGTACATATTTTAGCAGGAAATGGAAGTATAAACTCGTTACTTGTAACAATGTTACTTTTTTGATAACTTTACTGGTAACTGCGTTACGTTTTTTGGTAACGATAACGAATTTTACAATTACTTTTATTGTTACTTCGCACACAATTAGACATAGCGCTTGAGACTTAAAAAGCCCCTAGGCACTCGTTCGCTGCGATTGGTGGCCGTCGATTTAAAAATGTAATGGAAAAGTAATGAAAAGTTACTTTCTCAAGTAATTATAACGAGTTACTTAAATTGATAACTATAGTAATGGTAACTTGTTACTTTTTCTACTCGATAACCAATAACTGTAACTTGTTACTTTTAAAGAATAACTTTCCCTGCATTTTAGTATTGTCGTCAATGCTTAAGCATTCTACATAGTTATTTTGATGGTCCAACAAAGTTATTTTCAGACACTTCGGCAAAGCCATTCTTTTCGTGCAGGCTAGACTCCAAACCGCTGTAAATTTACCTGTTTGAACACAGGGATGAGGTTCGGTCCTGGTCGCTCATAAATTCGAGCAGGTACACTAAAGTTCTATGGTTAAACCTATTTAAGAGAAGTCTAGCTAGTATATTTCCAGTGGACATTCTTATTTAATAGCAAGTGGCGCCGTGTCGTTGCTCCTTCATCAACACCCTGGAAAATTGCATGTAATATACGCTATTCCCTTTCCTCATCTTAAGTCACCATTTATTTTCGTTAATTTCTACATTGTGTACGCTACATTCATACGTTAATTCGAACGACTGAAATTAACATAAATCTTGATCAACGTTAGACGTTTGTTTAGACATCCATATGAGCGCTTTGCCTTCCGTTATTCGTATAACTCGTTTCAATAATTTTTCCATTCAGTCACATCTCGCGACTGGAAGCGCTTCCCTTCGAGGACTCTTACACGACACTTAAAACTCATCGTCCGGTGCGACGATACTAATAAATCGAGGTATCGCGCGGTACACCGGTATGCGATACGCAAAGGTGGTTTCCACACGCGAGAGAAGACAGAGAAAAGCCACGAGGCATAAATCACAAGTGGGAAGTTCAGCTTCGCCTTCGGGCGAGTCATAAATCAATAGCTGTCCGGTTGTGCACATGAAATGATTACACCGGTCCCGCGTGTAGAATTGAGCGTGGAACGTGAGTTCCAACGTCGACAGAGACGAGGGCAGGAGAAGCGGAAGAGGATCCTCGAAATTGGCCATGGCGGCCGCCGCGCCGTCAGTTTCCCTGCAGATGTTTGATGGCCACGACATGTGGGGTTTTCGCGTTTTCTCGACGTTCTCGAGAGAGATTCGCTATTGCTCTTCACTCTCCAGGACTGTTCTAAAACTTTACTCTGATTCAATGAAAAAAAAAAAAATTGTACATTTGACTAAATTAACTTAGTCTTTATCTTTATTTTCTTTGTTGAAAAATGTATGTAAGTCAAATATAATAAAATTGATTTAAGTCAAATAAACAATTTTTTTATAAGGGGGGGGGGGTAAGTGAGTTAACTCGTGGGCCGGTATTCATATTCGGTTCTTATTTCAAATCCCTTTTAAGTAATGTCTCAAGATATCATAAAGCAATTACAGAACCATATTAACATCACTCTTGCTACTTTTCCGGTTTCTGACTCCGACTTGTTGAATCACCGGCTCTTTAGTAGGTAGAAAAAAATCTCCGATTGATCATTCTGAAGTCTGAATTTTGATAATTTTATTTTTTTCTTTTAAAAAAAAATAGTATACACGGAACGAATGATTTTGCTGAAGTATCTAAAAATTTAGCTAGACATAGGTCTGAAAATAATTTTATTGAACCTTCAAAATAATTACATAAAAATCTGAGGCATGAATAAGCATTGCTGCAAAGAGTTTTAACATTTAGAATTTTATTCAGCGTCCTACTAATTAGACCGCATTAAATCTGCACTCATATTTTTTAAGAGTATTTACATAGTTCAATAAAGTTATTTTCAGATTTGTATCTAACTAAATTTTTAAATACTTTGGCAAAACCGTCTTTTCCATGTAAACATGACAATGGCAAGAATCTTATAGGTCTTATTAATGGTACGCACAATTAAACGACACGAGTGAATGGTAATAAACTGGAATTTTCATTTTTGATCTTTCTTTTTTTAGAGAAAGTCACAAACTATTACATGCTAATATTTATACTACTTTATTCCTTCTACCTTTTGGAAACTTCAACCTCTGACGGATACTAGAAAGTGCTTGCATGGCATTAACAATGATTATGTTGAAACAAGACCCGACTATAAATATTGGCACGTGAGTAACTCTCTTATGTCCATTTCCATTAATGTAAATTAACTTTAATTTCGGTTTAATTTACCCTTTAACTTATTCTTTAGAATAAGAAAAAAAATGAAGAATAAATTGAATTAATAGATTAAAGTTAATTTACATTGATGGAAATAGGCATTGCTCAGAGTAAAGGAACTCAGCCTCGATAGTTCGAAAAAAATCACTCGTTCTTTAAGCGTTGGCGTTGGTCGGCGAAGAAATAGCACGAGAGTGGAGAGTTCGCGCTTTGCGCCGGTCGCTCGGGGTAATTAACTCATCGCACGCCTCCCGGGGCGAACAATAACCCTTGTGTGCTGCTCGCGTGCCAATTAATATTATCGAGTATCACATACGATCTGCATACGATCTGCAGCGTGCGCGCGTGCCGTGACGGGGCACAGCGAAAGAAATCCGCTGCGCGGATCTGATAGGCGGTATCTCCGCGTTTATCTCCGGCGACGCATCGTACAATGAGCACCGTCGCCGTCGGCCTGGCATCGATAGCGGAAAAAAAAGTATTGCGGATGTGGATGATATTAACGATCATTATTAATCGCGACGTCCATGTAGCTTAATAGATTGCGAGATAACAAGTCTGTTTTTTTTATAGCTAAACTACGTATATAGTGTGGGCTTTTTATACTTAAAGCGAAATAGGTATACATATATATTTGAAATTTGGGGAAAGCGAGAGGGAAAGTTTTGGTGCATTTCAGTGCAATGAAAAAAGCAAATTGACTATGTCGATACGATAAGATTAAATATTTAAACTCTAAGATCAGTTTTGAAAAGCATAGATAAAAACAGAGAATAAAAGATCCCAACTTACTAAAAACTGTGTATTCTGACATATATACATACATGCTTTCTGATAGGTTCATTGAGAAGAATTTCTGGTTGAAAATGAACGAAGAAGATTCTGAATATATCAATCCGAATTCTGATCTCATCTTATCTCATCTTCGAATTGTAATAAATTCAACCAGAATATTCTGATTTATCCATTTTCAATCAGATTTCCAATTAATGCAACCTGACTTTTTTCTGGTGTTGAAATTTATTACTCTTATTGGTTATATTTTTCAATTGTGTCTCAGATTTAACGATGACAAATTTCTGCTGATAATCTGTACCCCGATTCTGTAACTCTTAACAACAATTCGGTATTGTTATATTGTCTTTGCGTAGATATTATATACATATAGGTAAGGTAAAAGCAACGATAATATAAGTTAGATATATTATATAATACTGAATTGTGTCATTAAGGCCCAGTTTCACAACTCACGATTAACTCTTAACCGAGATTTAACTTATTTCTCATCTCTTTCCAATTTTAAAATCGGAAAGAAACAATGAATAAGTTGAACCTCGGTTAAGAGTTAGCCGTGAGTTGTGAAACTGGGCCTAAGAGTTACAAAATGGCGATACTGGCGCCAGTTTTAGCGCCCGTTTCAAGATCGCGCCGACATGAACTCGCGGATAATTAAACTATCGCGCGTGGACAATCGCGATGGATTTGCGTATACGCGATTATGCATCGTCGAGGCACGAGGGATCATTTATCATTCGGCGCACCCTGACGGCTCCCGAAGCGGTGGATCGTCCATTATTTCACTTTACCGAGCATTAATCGGCAGATTCGGAGTCTTAGCTCCGAAATCGGATGTCTCTCCGGGAATTCGATGCTTGCCTCGGCAATCAGCTTCGCATCTTTAAGTCTTTCGTGAATCGATTTCCTCTTCTTTCGTGATTTACATGCGGTAAACCGCAAGCTACGTTATCACGTTAATTACAACTTAGGAAAACTTGTTCTTTTAGGTGTGTGATACTCATATTCACGTAAAGAATTTTGCTGAAGTATTTAAAAATTCAAGTAGATATAGATCTGAAACAATAATTAAAAAGAAAATAATATATATATTATATATATGAAAGCTCTAAGAATAAATTAAGAAAGGAAGATATAAATGGTCAATAAAAGTCAAACGAAACGTTGTATTTACATATTTATTATAGAACTATTACATAAAAAAATGTAATGGTGTTGCAAACAGGCCTGTTCTAAGCGGAATTGTGCAAATTGTGCACCGCACAAGGGCGCATTAATATGGAGGACGCTGAAGGGAGCACCAAATTAAGTTTTCAAAATTAATTAGCCAGTACTAATATCATTGTCTTCGCAAAAACCGAATCGGAGCATAAGTTGAATGTAAGAAGAGAGTGACAGAGGCATAAACAAAAATTATAGGAAATGTAAAGGTACAGCAGAATGTAAAAGAATATTTTAAGATATAAACGCCTCTTTTATATTTCGTTGTTCCAATTTATGTTTTGTAGAAATTTTGCTTACTGTCACTCTCTCCTTATATTTGATTTACGCTCCAATCTTTATTTTTGCTAGGATATACTTTTATCATATTCAATTTGATATTTTAAATATATATTTTCCGTGTTAACTGAACCAATTTGCCAGATGATGCTCATCATTGGAGTGTTTCGATTATAATTCTTTAAAAAAAAGGTCATCTGATAGAAGGCGCAAATGTTTCGATTATAGTTTTAGTCTCCTTTAGTGTTGTTAAAATTTAAATAATAAATCTTAAATTAAAAGTACACAGTGCACATATCAGAATAAAACATGGATAGTAAGAGCAAGTCTCAAATTCTATGAAGTATTTGCGAATATAAATATAAGACCTGAAAGTAATTATATTGAATATTATAATTATAATGACCCATCAAAATAATTATATACTTTCTAAAACTTTTAGACCGAATGTCATTCTGAAGAATGAAATCTCACTTTTAAAGATTGAAAAATTGAACCACTTATTAGAGTGAGATTTAACTCCAAAGAATTTAGAGAGTAGGGAACTCAAACAATGTGCAATGCTGCAAAAAGTTTTAATATTTTAGCAACCAGTGTTTGAGCCAGCGTCTTACATAATTATTTCGATAGTTCAAGAAAATTATTTTGTAAATCTATATCTAACTGGATTTTTAGATACTTCTGCAAAACCGTATTGGGAAAGTAACATTACGCTTACAATTTCTTCAAAGTACAATATTATTATACGAATATCTTACGTGTTAACACAATTCCGCATTCTTGCAGACTGAAATGGAGGCGGAGTCCGAATGTGCGGACGGCGTTCTGTGCCCGAAGACCAACAACAACAATAACAACAATAATAACAACACGAATAACAACAACATCGCCGTCGCGAAGAAGAGCGGCAGCGATAACGGATAACACGCTATGGGCGATGA